CCCTCCCCCACTGTCCCCGAGATAGGCCTATTTTTAGCTCCATTGTTACCCACCCTGTTCATCTGGATGTCAGTGGCGTGTGGGGGGCTGTGGCCCTGGAAGGGGCACTCCCCGGCCTGGCCCGCCGTCCGCCTTCTGCAAGCCCACTGTTCTAGGCTTCGCCGTGTCTGTCTGTCTGTCAATCTGGGGAGGCTCCCAGGGAGAGGTGGGGCTGAGGGCTGATGCAGTGGGAGAGCCCCAGGCGTCGCCGCGTTAGGAGGTGAACTCTCTGAGCCTCAGTTTTCCCACCTGCTAAATGGGGAAACAGCTGGTCTCCTGCCTTCTCGGGGTTGTTCTGGAGATGGTGACTGAGATTAATTCAGTAAGGACACTTGGAGTGGCAGCATCTGGAGTGGGGGAGCGAGGCGGGCAGTAACTGAACACAGGCTGCAGGTCCTCAGTGGGTTCAAGTGTAAGTTCCCGTCGGCCCCCGAGGACCCAGACCTGGTCGCTGCCTGGAGAGAGTTGGCGGGATGCTCTCCAGCCCCTTCCCCAGGAATTGGTCCCCAGGTCCCAGCCGCCTGCCTGGGGACCGAAGCTCAGGAGAGAGCTCCTTCCCCAGAACTGGCTGCCTCCTCCCCGGGGGTCCCACCTCGCCTGCTCTGTCCTGGGAGAGTCCCACCTGGATGGCACCTGCGTGCTCTCCAGGACCTCCCTTGGCTTTGGAGGGTCCCTAGAGGGGAAGGAGAGGCTCTGTCCTAGGCGGGGAGACCCTGGGGGCCTTTCTCTGCCTTGTGGAGTGGTTGGGGCCATGTCTGTCTCTAGCGCTGAACAAATGTTCTGCTCCGTGGAACTTTCTAGATCTCTGGGGCATCCACACCTAGAAGGGGATGGTGCCCTCGTGGCCTCGCAGCTGCGCCTCCTCAGCTGCCCACCAGGTCCTGGTGTCCAGGGTTGTCTGCTCTGTGGCCTCCTCACAGTTGGCTCCTGGATCCCGGAGACTCTCTGCCCACGCGTGGCCCGCAGCCCTCCGCACGGCCTGTCCACTGGCAGGGAAACTCGACATTCTGCATGAGGGGAAAGGAGTAAGCCCTGTCCTGTGGCCATGCGGCATGTGGTCATTGAGGGTCAAACCTAAAAATAACAGGGTGCATTAGTCAGGATTAGATTTGGCTGCAAGTAATAGGAAAAGCCAAGTAGCAACAGTTTACACAAGATGGAAGTTTATTTCTCTGTCCTGTCCGAGCCCAGAGCTTTGCAGGCCTGGTGCGATGGCTCTGCTCCACGGTTTCCTTGGGGAACTTGATCTCCCCCATTCCTGGGGTGTGGATTCATGGGCTCATGGTTCAAGATGGCTGCAAACCTTCCATCATCACATCTGGGTTCCAGGCAACAGGATGGAAGAAGGGAGGAAAAGATCTCATGAGGAAGGATTCTGGAGTTTGGCATGTGACATTGCTCATATGTCCTGTTAGCTAGGATTCATCACGTGGCCCCAAGTGTCTGCAGGGAGTGGGGAAGGTAGTGTTAGCTCTGGTGGCCATGTGCTCAGTCTCTGTCCCTCCTGGGGGATGAAGGCATCGAGGATGGTCCCGCCTGGGAAGCTGGGCCGGATCAGGACCTGCAGCGTCTCACGGGGACCTTCCCCAGGGGGACATCCTGCCTTGGGGCCAGAGAGCCACAAGCCCAGGCTGGAAAGGCTGGGCTGAGCCTGCGGAGAAGGGCCTAGGGAGGAGGAGCCCGCTCAGGGGCAGTGCTGGGACAGGGAGGCAGGTCACCTCTTCTCTTTGGTCACAGCATGCCAAGAAAGTGTGGCCCGTGTCTGGGGAAGGACAGGCCCGCTCCCAGGAGAGTGGCCAGAGGCTGGGGGCTCAGAGGCCTCAGGAAAATGAAGCGCTGCGGGCGCCAGGGCACCTGTGACCGGGAGCAGGGTCCGCCGCAGGACCAGGGCGTGCTGCCTGGGGACTCGGGCCAGGGAGGGCCCAGGGCTTGCCAGGTGGGCTGCGGGTCCCTGGAGGCCCCGGCCCCGTGGCTGCCCCTCCTGGGCTCCTCCAGGAGAAGCCGGGAGCCGAGGGTTTATTGAGGCCCTTGGTTCTTAAGCCCAGGTGGCCGCAGCGTGGACATCACCAACTAGAGGTCAGGCTCCTGGCTCCCGGGCGCCTCCTGGGGGCCCGCAGCTTCCTCCTCCAACGTGAACGCCTCTCAGGCCGCCAGGCAGAGCCAGGAAGCGTGGTCTTTATATGGCAGCTTAACCAAATCGGTTTTTAAAATTTTAGTTCTGAAAAACACTTTTGACCCCAATGTTTTTATTTTGAAGAATCTTGAACGAGCAGTGAGCACCTGAGCCCTGATGGTCGACGTCGGCTCTCTGGCTTCTCTCCGGCTCCACGAGCCCCTCGAGACAGACAGGAACCCAGGGCCACCCCCAGGGCCACCCCACAGCCGCAGCCCCTGCTGAACATTCAACAATCTCTGCAGACACTCTCCATCCTGTTTTTACTTTTTAAACTCTCCTTCTCAGTTGGAAGGAATAGATGACACCCACCTCTAACAGGTTGTGATCAGCAGCACGTGCCCACGACCTGCAGCTGCCCCGGGCTGCCCTCCGGCCACGGGACTCAAGCACTGTCCAGTAGAAAGGGAACGTGGGCCGCGTGGGCCATTCTGAATAGCCACGCTAAAAGGGCAGAAAGGAGTGGATGGAGTTGATTTTAAGAACACACATTATTTGACCTTTTATTTTTTTAATTTTTTTAAAGAGAGAGTGAGAGAGGGGAGAGAGAGAGAGAGAATTCTTTTAATATCCATTTTTTAGTTATCGGCGGACACAACATCTTTGTTTTGTACGTGGTGCTGAGGATCGAACCCGGGCCGCACGCATGCCAGGCGAGTGCGCTACCACTTGAGTCACATCCCCAGCCCTATTTGACCTTTTATTCTATCTTATTTTTTGGTGCTGGGGTTTAAACCCAGGGGCACTTGACCACTGAGCCCCCTCCCCAGCTCTTTTTTATATTTTATCTAGAGTCAGGGTCTCGCTGAGTTGCTTAGGGCCTTGCTCAGTGGCTGAGGCTGGCTTTGAACTCATGGTCCTCCTGAATTGCTGGGATTATAGGTGACCCCTGCTCCTGGTGCTCAATGTCCTTTCATGTGCTTGTTTGGCATCCAGATGAGTTTTCAAGTCTTGTCCATCTTTAAATTGTATTTTGTGTGAACTTGGTATTGAGTTGTAAGAGTCGGTGTCTTGTGGGGCACAGTCAGGATTAGATGGGATAATCCATGACAAAAGCCTGGCAGTCAAGAGACCCTCCTGTTGGCACTCTTTCACTGCGGGCTCTTGCTGTGACATCCTGCCTCACCACAGTCCTCAAAAGAGTAGGACCAACCAACTGTGGGCTGAAACTTCAAATCTGGGAACCCAAATAAACCTTTCCTCTTTTTAAGTTGATTATTTCAGGTAGTTTGTTATAGTGATACAAGATGGACTGGCAGACAATACTGTCCAAACCGTGCAGGATGTGGCCCTTCCTCTTACATCTCTCCTCATTCCAGCCACCCCAGTATCACCTCAAGGGATTGGGCACTAGGGTGCCCACCCACACCCCTGAGCTTACTGACCACTGTCCCTGGCAGTGGACAACAGTGGTACGGCCACTAGGACCATCAGTTTCAGGAACCAAACGCACCTACAGCTGGGAGAGGCCTTCAGACCACTCCGTCCCTCACTGTCCACTCGTGGCTGGAACACTGAGGCCCAGAGAGAGGGAAGGGATTGCCCAGTCCCCACAGCATGTGACCGGCAGGCAGGGCTCCGCTGGCGAGGCTCACTCTGGCTGGCCGAGACGCCGGGGTTGTGCCCTCCTCCCGGCATTTTGGAGGTGGGTCAGTTTTCAGGGGACACGGGCCTGCCCCGCCCCCTGCAGCACAGCTGGGCACATCTGTGTTGTCTCCTGGCTGCCCCTCCAGGCACAGCCGGGGCCTGTCACTGCCTGGCCCCGTGGCCAGCGGGGAGCCCTGTGGGAGTGGTGACAGCTGTGGCCAGCTGTGCTCCTGCAGGCCCTTCCTGCGTCCACCCTTGGCCCTCTCCCTGTGCCCCCTCCCCTGTTTGAGCCCGTTCCCATGCATGTCCCCTTGGCCCAGGACACTGGGAGGGGTCTGGGAGGTTCCGTGAGCGCTTGGGGCCCTGCAGCCCCAGAGCCGCCATGAGGAAACGTCCGGCTCTGCCGACAGCCAGCTGGGGCCACCCTGGGCCCCTCCTCCTCTCTGACCATGTGTTTTGGTGTGGGGACGTGGGGGCTCATTCTTACCATCTTTGAGGGAAAATAAAGGCAGGGGAGAACTGGGGGTGAAGGGGGGACGGCTCCTGGGGACCGGGGACCAGGGTGTGCTCTCCACAGAGCTGTCCTGGGGCTTCAGGGGTGAGTGGAGACGGGGAGGGCTTTCCAGGGAGAGGAGCTGGCCTGGCTCAGGCTCCGGGAGGGCCCGTGAGCCTGGTGGTCAGTGTCCTGTCTGGAGACCCCAGGGTAAGGGGTGGCTCTGGGGCGGGGGTCGGCAGGAACTCTGCTGTGGCTGGCCTTGTGCGGGTCCGTGACCCACCCCCGGAGACTGGAGGTGCTGCTGGGGCGCAGAGCCCTGGTGACGCATGCCTTGGGCCCCACTGAAAGCAGCCGGAGAGTCCTCGTGCTGTAAGGCTGCAGATTGGGGCTGTCCCGGGTGCAGGGGCTTGGGGCTCCCCTCCTCCTGGACATCAGTGCTCCCTGGTGCCCGTGGCTGCTGAGCTCCTGGAACGTCCATGTCTCCTGCCCTCTGTGAGGTTCCCAGCACCTCCTTCCTAGGGCCTGGCTCTCCGTCTGCTGAGTCCTTTCCCCGGCTCCAGAAGGCTGTCCCTGTCCTCTTGCTCTAGATGCCAGCCCTGCCCCGTGATCAGAGAAGACAGGAGCACAAGGGGGAAGGAAGCGCCTCCTCTGGGAGCACCGGGCACCCAGGGGTTAAGGGTGGCAGGCCTTTCCAGCATTTTGTTCTCAGCGCCCAGCGGCCCCTGGGGCACTCAGGCCCAGGTCTCTCCTGTGGACAGAGCGCCCCATGCGTGCCGGCCTTGGCTTCTGCCGTGGCCGTGTTGACCTGGGTGCTGCTGCGAGCTCGGGGCTGTGCTCCTTGGAGCCTTGACCTGCTGAGCTCTGCTGGTCTGGGTGCCGCCGGCCTCTCTTTGTGACGTTCACGATGTAGAGAGCTGGGCCGTGGCGCACACCTGGGATCCCATTCAGGAGGCTGAGGCAGGAGGATCTCAAGTTTGAGGTCAGCCTCGGCAGTGTAGCAAGAGCTTGTCTCAAAATAAATATAACAGGGGTTGGGGATGTGTGGGTCAGTGGTAGGGCACCTGCCTAGTGTGTGCCAGCCAGGCCCGGGTTCAACCCCTCGGCTGCGAAGATGAAATGCAATCTTAAAATGAAATGAAATGAAGTCATGGACTAAAGCAGGTGTGTCTGGGTGTCTCCCTGCCCGCTGGCTTGGAGGAATGATACGGAGGGGGTGACATGGCCTCTGTCTCTGTGCAAGGAGGACCTGTGGATTCGTGCTGCGACCCCACCCCCTAAGGAGACTGTCCTCCTGCGCCCTGTCCCCCAGACCCTTCATTTGCAGTGGCACCCCCTCGTCACACCTCTGCCCTGTTCTTTCCACTCAGCCGCTGACCCCCAGTTAATCCCTCCCAACTGTCTTATTTTTGCCAGGGGAGTGTGAACTCCAAGGTGACGGTCCTCCTGTCCCTGTCTGTGACTCCCTGAAGTACCAGCAGGCCCGCTGACGGCTGGGGTTAGTGAGCCTGTGACTCCCAGGCCCCATGGGGGCCGCCATCCGGCTGCGCTCCTGCTCCCTGGAGGTGGCAGGGCACGGGCGGCCGCGTCCCCTCCTGCCAGTCCTCAGGCCCCTCCCACCCCGCACACCCTCTCGCCCGCAGGTCTGGGGTCCTGAGGCTGCCAGCGGACTATGGGTACGACGGCCAGCACAGCCCAGCAGACGGTCCCGGCAGGTGCCCCCTTCGAAGGCCTCCAGGGCGGCAGCGCCGTGGACGGGCGGCCCTCACTCAGCGTCCATTCCTTCCAGACCATGAGCGTGCACAACAGCAAGGCCAAGTCCATCATCCCCAACAAGGTGGCCCCGGTCGTGATCACGTGAGTAGCGGGTGGGCGTGGCCATGATCCTGGAGGACCTGCCCCCGGGAACCCCTGGAGGTGCAGTGGGTGGCGCGCACCTCCTGCTAACAGAGGGCTTTCCGTTGCATACGCGAACACAGGCCCAGAGAGGGTAAGCGGTCTTTCTGGAGACGCCCAGCCAGCAGGCAGCAGATCTGGGTTTCTGCTGTGACTCCCTGAGCCCGTGTTACCACTTCCTCCGCGTCAGAGAGTGTGGAGAAAGGGGAGGGGCGGGAGGGGACATCCTTTGAAAATAACTTTTGACTAAACATTTTCAAAGGAAGTGTATATATTTAGATACATGGAATATAGATGTTTTCTTTCAAAGTCAGTAATTATGGCTCCAAAGGGTGGTAAAGGATGGATCAACTCGGGGCCTTGAGTGGCAGTGGGTGGCGGTGCGGACCTGTGTTTCCAGCAGCTCTGGCGGTGGAGGCGGGGTCGAGGCCAGCCTCAGCAACTCAGGGAGACCCCGTCTCGAAATAAGAAAGGAAAAGGGCTGGGGTTGTGGCTCAGCGGTAGAGCGCTCCCCTCGCGTATGGGAGGCCCTGGGTTCCATCCTCAGCACCTCATAAAAGAAAATAAAGATATTGTGTCCAACTAAAAGGTAAAGTATATTAAAGAAAAGAAACAGGCCTGTGCAAGGGCTGTGCTGGGCACCCGTGCTGTCCCCAAGGGTGGCTTGGACAAGGGGTCAGGTGCGCTCGCCACGCCTGTCCACCCTGCTCCTCTGCCGCTGGGCCTCCCAGGCGGTGGGGAAGGGGACCCCATGAGCAGAGCATTAAATACACTCTACACGTAGAATTTTGGTGGAGACTCTATGAGGGTTGAAACCCGCCTGGGGCCCAGGGCCTGGCAGGAGGGTGTCATCATAACACATTACCGTGCTGGGGATAAAGGGAGGATGCAGAGAGGGATGCAGGGAGTCTCTGTTCTGACAGGAGCCTCAGCAACTTAGCGAGATCCTGTGCTCTGTGACCTAGGGCCAGCCTCTCGCCCTCTCTGGGCCTCAGTTTTCTTATCAGTGTAATCAGAGATAATATTAAATATTTTACCAAGTGCTGGGCCCTGAATGGCTACTGGCCAGCTGTAAAGACCCAGCTCAAGGCACCGTGTGTGGCCTGGGGCTCTCTGAGTGCTGCCCTCCTTGGCCAGCAGAGTGCTGGAGGCCGAAGGACCCTTGGGGGTCATGCGGTGGAGGAACGGCACCCTCACCCTGTAGGCTGACTCTGCCCGTCACCTCTTCATTATTGTTACTGGACACTGTTCCTCCTTGTCACTTCAGTGGCAGCTTGAGCGCTTGTCCCCGAGGCCACGTGCCCAGAGCCTGACGTGCTCACTGTCCGTCCTCTGGAGAGAAGCTCTGCAGAACCCCATGGGACGCCTCCCAGAGCAGAGCCAAAACCCATCTGGACGTGACTGGGCTCGCGAGGTGGCGAGGTGGCCGAAGGTGGCCTGCCCCCCCCGCCAGGTGGCTCCAAGGCAGAGCAGCAGGGGCTGGTTCCCCAGACTGCTGCCCGCCGCCTGCCCTGCCCAGCCTTTCCTGAAGGCCGGCCTCTGGTAGGGGCCCCAGCACCAGGCCAAGACTCTGGGAGGCCCGTGCTGCGTGCTGTCACATGCTGCATGCTGTCACCGTCAGTGCTGTGGCTTTGTGTTCCGAATGCTCGGTGGCCTTAACCGAGGGCCTCTGCGTCTGCCGAAGGCGTGGTTCCGCCAGGGAGTGTGGAGGAGCCGCTGGTCTTGGGGTGATGCTGACCAGCCCCTGTGGGGGTAAGGCCACTGTACCGAGGTGACCCCCAGGGGGACGCCTGCATCAGACAGAAGCGTCTCGATGGGCCCCCTGGGCTGGTGTGGCTGCCCGGCCCGTCCAGGCTCCCTCTGCGCCAGTGTCCTGGCTGTGCCTTCTGTCCTGTGGCCCGAGATGCTGGTTCTGCTTCTGCTGTTGCCTCCGGGTCAGAAGGCCCTCCCTTTGGGGGTGGCCCCGGACTTGCCCGTACCCCACTCCCCGCACCTCCCTGGCCAGGGCCAATCCCGTGACCAGAGCCAGCTGCCCGGGGGCTGGACGTTAGTCCTCAGTGGGGCGGCCCAGTCCCGCCACAATTCTGGGCTCTGTGTCTGAGGAAGAAGGGGACAGTGGCCGCTGGGGTAGGATGGGCAGTCTGTGCCCCAGAGGGGAAGCTGCGGGCCCGGGATGGGTGGCCTCCTGTGGCTCTGGAGTGGACGGACGTCTGACCTGGCTGCACCCCCCCACCCCCTGGCAGGTACAACTGCAGGGAGGAGTTCCAGATCCACGACGAGCCGCTCAAGGCCCACTACACGCTGGGCCGCCTCTCGGACGCCACCCCCGAGCACTACCTGGTGCAGGTGAGGCCAGCCCTGTCCCCGCCTCGGGGTCCCTCCCCCATCTTCCTCTGCCCTCCTCCCCGTCCCCCTCTGCCTCCCTCAGGGCCTCACCCCTTCCCAGAGGCCAGCAGCTTGGCCTCCCTCTGCACCCCGTGGTTCCCCTGCCCCCGGGCCCTGCTCTGCGTTTCCCAGGCCCCCTTCCTCCCTCCTCAGGTGCTGGGCAGTGGAGATGGGACTAGTGGCCGCAGGCTCTCTGGGCTGAGAACCTCCTTCTGTTCTTTTCAAAGTTCCGGACTTCTCTGACTTGCCCTTTCCCCTCCTAGAGGGGCCCAGAGAGCCAGGCCACGGGCAGACGTCTTGGTCCCCTGTTGGCTGGGCAGAGGGGGTGGACGTGGCGGGTGTTTAGCCACAGGAATGGGGACAGGCTGCACTTGCCCACAGAGGCGCCAGGACGTTCTGGCTTGTCCGGGGTGCTGGCTCCCCTTCCCATCTGTCCTGGGCCGGGGCCTGCTGGGGGCCCGGGAGGCATGAGAAGGTCCAGGGCTCCTTCTGCCCAGGGAAGGGCTCCTTCTGCTCCTTCTGCTTCTCGCCCGGCGGGCTGGGCCCGGTTTCCTCCCTCCTCTGCTGGCCGCTCCTGTCGGTCCCTGGAGCTGGCTGGGCCGGGCAGGGGCTGAGCTCTGGCTCATCCGGTGCCGCAGATGTGACCCCCTCCTGGAGTCCCTTCTCCACGTGTGCCCCCAAGAGGCGGGGACATTTGCCCTCTTCTGGGGGAGCCCCTTCAGGCCGCCCCTCTCCCTGTCTTTCCTCCCAGCCTGGCCCTGGGCCCTCCTGATGCTCCCTCAGGAGGGTGGTCTCTCCCTCTCCCCAGCCCCGTGACACCTGCCCAACACAGATGTCTTTTGGGAGCCTACAGGGGAACGCAGGGCAGAGCATGTCCCTTCCCCCACTTCCCTGCTCCGTGTCCCCTGGAGTCCAGGACAGAGCCCTGCCTGTGGAAGATTCCCCGGGTCTCTGAGTGACTCTGCTGTGGCTGTCCCCTGCCAGGGCCGATACTTCCTGGTGCGGGATGTTCCTGAGAAGGTGGACGTGCTGGGCACCTCAGAGAGCTGCGGGGCCCTCAACTTCCGGCAAGGGCGCGGCGGGTTCGCCGTGTTTGGCATGGGGCAGCCCAGCCTCCTGGGATTCAGGCGCATCCTCCAGAAACTTCAGAAGGATGGACACAAGGTAAAGCAGCTGCTTCCAGTCCAGCCCCGACCTAGGAGGGCTCCAGGGAGGGGCAGCTTCGAGGCTCTGGAGGGGCCTGGCCACAGGCCTGGGAGGGCGCGGGGCCTGCGTCAGGCCTCGACTGCCATGGTGGTCCTTGTGGTGGGCTGGGAATTCCGCCAGATGTTCATTGTGTGTCCTGTGTGGATGTGGGAACTCCGAGCCGTTCTGAGCGCCTAGGAGGAAGTGAGGGGGTGACAGGGTGACATGGGCCCCCTCATAACACAAGAGATGCCAGATGATCGCAGCTGACATGAATCGTGCCGTCAACCCTAAGGGAGGAGCTGCCAGGCCCATTTTGCAGAGGAGGAAACTAAGGCCTGGAGAGAGTAGTGACTTGCTCAAGGTCACACAGCTTTGCCCCAAGACCCAAACCCAGGCAGCTAGACCCCAAGTGCCTGCTTCCTTCCCTCCTTCCCGCCCTCCTTCTTTCCTTTTTGTAGGGGACTGAGCCTATGTGCTTTACCACTAAGCCACGCCCCCAGCCATTGTTTTTTTTTAATATTTATTTTTTAGTTTTAGGTTGACACAATATCTTCATTTTATATTTATGTGGTGCTGAGGATCGAACCCAGGGCCTCATGCGTGTTAGGCGAGCACGCTACCACTGAGCCACAACCCCAGCCCCAAGCCCTTTTTATATTTTATTCTGAGACAGGGTGTCATTAAGTTGCTGAGGCTGGGTTTGAACTCTTGATCCTCCTGCCTCAGTTGCTGGGGTTACAGGCGTGAGCCACTGCGCCCAGCTCAAGTGCTCATTTTCAGTGACTCCCCTTGCTTACCTGACGGAGGTGGGGTTTGCCTCTCCAGGACAGAGCTGGCAGGGCACCGCTCTGGCTGCAGGGACAGAGAGGACAGGGAGCGTCTGAGTGGCTCTGTAGGTGGGGAGGCCCCTGTGAACCAGGGCCAGGTGGGGCTCCCTGTAGCTTCCCGTGGCTCCCCTCCCAACTTGACTTAAGTTCCACCCTCTCTGCCTGTGGGTGCTCGATGGCTGATGGCTCAGGGGTGGGGACAGCCATTTCTTCAGCTGATGTAATCAACCCCCTGATTTATCTGGGGTCCTGCCCAGGAACTGTGGGCTCTCCATGTTGAAACATAGCAGGCCTCCTCACGGGAGAGCCCAAGAGCTGGATAAAGGACGCTGGCCTGGGGCGGGGGGGGCTCCTGCTGACTGGGTGGTCGAGCAGGTGACTGGACTGAGCTGAATCCTCAGGGAGGATTCAGGTTGCAGGGTCCAGGGTGGGTGCTGGGCCTCGGAGGAGAGAGGAGCGGCCGGGCAGAGGCTGGGCAGGGCGAGGTCCCCGCCTGGTAACGGTGGCCGTCTCGCGGCAGGAGTGCGTCATCTTCTGCGTGCGCGAGGAGCCCGTGCTGTTCTTGCGTGCTGGCGAGGACCTCGTGTCCTACACACCTCGCGACAAGCAGAACCTTCACGAGAACCTCCAGGGCCTGGGTCCGGGGAGCCAGGCGGAGAGGTTGGAGCTGACCATCCAGAAGGAGGTGAGGCGGGAGAGGAGGTGGGGGCTCCCCCCAGGCCTCCTGCCCTGAGCTACGGCCCGGCTCGGCACTCTCTGGGGCGGCCCACCTGGCTCTCCCCGGCCCCCACGCCCTTGCTTCTGTGCTCTGCAAGGCTGGTGCCCAGGTGGCCAGAGGCAGGTCTTCCTCTTCTGGCCTCTCTGTGGCTGTCCCTTTGCAGCCTGTTTCTCTCCCCTGTGCTCAGCGTCCTTGTTTAGAAAAGGGTCTGTGGGGTCTAAAGAGCCCTGGACTAGGGAGCCCACGAGCAGAGTTGGTCTCCTCCTGTGCTGTGGGGCCCAGCGGGCGCTGTCCCTCTGGGCCTCTGTTGGCCCATCTCTGAGACCCCCGTGTCTTCCTCCTGCCCTCCACAGCACAGAGACTTGGCAGGTCTCTAAGGCAGGTGGCCCACCACAGGAGAGTGTAGGGGGAACGTGGGGTCACGTGCCTGCTAGGCTGCAGAGGGCAGGAGGCGAGGCCCAACTGGTGACATCGCCTCCCGCCTCCCCGTGCCTTAGCCACCCGCCCAGCTGAGCAAACCTGTCCTGGCAGCTTGGTGGGCTCCTGCTGCCCCTGGGGCAGGGCGGGCATCCCCGCGTGGTGAGCCCACGCACAGCTGGCTGCCCCCGATCCCTTCAGGCTCCCAGGCAGGGTACAGAGGGCGTCTCTGGCCATGGGGTTCCCTCCTGGATGAAGAGAAGCCTATGCAGCTGGTCACTCTAGAGGTCAGCTGGGACATCCAGGAGGGGCTGAAGGTCAGGTTGTCCCTGTGACCTCACACCGCCCTCCAGATCCACGACTTTGCCCGGCTGAGCGGGAACACTTACCACGTGTACCACAGCACGGGGGACCTGCAGGGGGAGCCCCACGCCGTGACCGTCCGGGCTGAGGATGACGTGCAGGTGACCAAGGAGGTGTACCAGCGGCCCCTCTTCCTGCAGCCCACCTACAGGTACCAGTGCGCCAGTCCTCCTGCTGTGGCCTCAGTTTTGCCATCTGCAGGTCGGGCATGGGGATGAGGGTCGGGGTGCCCAGGGCGGGTGGGTGACTTGCCTGATGAGGCCCTCCTCACCTGGCAGGTACCAGCGCCTGCCCCTGCCTGAGCAAGGTGCCCCCCTGGAAGCCCAGCTCGACGCCTTCGTCAGTGTCATCAGGGTAAACGGGGGCAGAGGCAGTGCTGGGGACATGTGGGGAGAGGGACCTTGAGGGCTGGAGGTTCGAGGGCGCAGGATCTCTGGCTTTTCCTGGGGGGCTTCGCCCTGAGCTGTGTGGGGGACCCAGTGAGTTGGGTTGCATGGGGCAGCACCCTGTGTGTGTCTGTCCCTTTGGGGTGAGTGTGTACACTCTCTAGGTCTCTGCTTGTGTGTGCACCTGTGTGTGGGTGTGTATTTGCACACACTCTAATGACAGAGTCCGGGGGGCCCTGGAGGACTGGTCCCAGGGGGCTCGGCTGCTGACCTGCTGTGTGGCCTTGGAGAGCCCCCCCAGCCTCGCTAGCCCTCAGGTCCCTCATGGCCTTGGGGGACATAGCCGTTCCTGCTGCTTCGCCTCTTAGCTGGGGTTTCATGGGCTCCGGAGGCCTCTGGTCAGCCCTTCAGATGCTGCCTTATTTAACTTGCAGGGCACAGCGGGTGCCACAGAGGCCCGATGCCCTCTGAGTAGCTCTCGCTTCCAGTCCCTGCACCTGCTCCCTGTGCCCTGCTCACAGAGTCCCTCTAAGGGGTCAGCCTCCTGGGACAGGTGGGCAGGTCGGGTTGTGGATCTGCACAGGAGGCTGGGCCTCCGGTCCACCCCGCTGGCTGTAGACGGCGGGGCAGGGCTGGCTGGTGTACGAGCCCTTCCTCGCCTTGGCCCCAGCCTCAGGGTCTCCAGGTCATGCTGTTGCCTATTGTCCACGGTCTGTTCCCAGGAGACCCCCAGCCTATTGCGGCTCCGTGACGCCCATGGGCCTCCACCGGCCCTCCTCTTCAGCTGCCAGTCAGGCGTGGGCAGGACCAACCTGGGCATGGTGCTGGGCACCCTCGTGCTGTTTCACCACAGTGGGACGATCTCACAGCCAGAGTGAGTGGCCTGGGACCCGGAGTCCCAAAGGGCTGTGGGAATGAGCAGGGGAGAGGAGGGGGCAGGGCTGCCCAGGATGATGAGGGCACATCCAGGAACCTGGAGGCACAGCTTGGGCTCCTTTCCTGGCTGGTCACAGATTTGCTGCGTGACCTGGGGAGAGGAACTTGACCTCTCTGGGCTCAGTTCCCTAGTGGGAGAAATGCCTTTTGGGATCCAGGAGGAGCCTACAGTCCCCTGCTTCCCAGTGGCAGTGGGAGGGGAGACAGTGGGCAGCACAGCTGTCCCAGAAGCCTTAGGGAGCCCTGAGTAGTGGCTAACCTCCCGCCTTGTCAGGGCCGTCCCTCCGCAGACCCGGCCGCTGCCCATGGAGCAGTTCCAGGTGGTCCAGAGCTTCCTCTGCACCGCGCCCCAGGGGAGGAAGGTGGTAGAGGAGGTGAGTGAGGGGCGGGCAGGGCAGGGCAGCGGGGACGGCAAGGGGGCCTCCCCTCCTCACGCCTTCTCCCTGCCCACGGTCTTCTGTTGACGCTGTCCTCTCTCCCGTCCTCCTCACTGCCCCTCCCTGACTCCAGGTAGACAGGGCCATCGCCGCCTGCGCGGAGCTGCATGATCTGAAGGAGGAGGTCCTGGAGGGCCAGCGGCAGCTGGGAGCCACCCAGAGCAGGGTGCAGGTGAGGCCCAGGGAGGCAGCTCGGGGCCCCGGCCTCCTGGGAGGCCGCAGCCAGGTTTGGTTAGCGCCGTGACCCGCTTCTTTGAGATCGACCTCTCTGGCTGCTTCTCCCACAAGAAAAGGAGTTTCCAGAGGAAGGGGAGGTGGGGTGCTGGCCTGCAGGAAGGCCGAGAAAGAGGGGAAGTTTACTTTCCCTGACCGGGTCCCTGAGCTGCGAGGATAAACAGGATGGAGGGAGGCTGCCGGGGCTGGGGCCTGAGCTGGGACACTTCCCAGATCCCTCAAGTTCCTGCATTGGCCTCGCGTTACTATGATGAAATACCTGAGATGATCAGCTTATAAAGAGAAAATGTTTACTTTGGATCATCATTTGGGAAGTTTCAGTCCATGATGGAAGGGCCCTGTTCCTTTTAGATCTGTGGCGAGTCAGGAGGAATGTGTGGCGGAGCAAAACCGCTTATGTCATGGCCAGGGAGCAAAGGGAGAGGTGGGGGGGGGTCCCATGGTCCCACCTCCCACTAATAATAGCCCTCCCTACCCCCTCACTACCCGCCCTGTGCTGGGCATGGGACCCAGGGCAGCTTACCGCTGAGCCATGGCCCCAGCCCTTTTTAATTTTTTATTTTGAGACAGGGTCTCACTGTGGTTGAGGCTGGCCTCAACCTTGCGCTCCTCCTGCCTCAGCCCCGAGTCAGTGGGGTTACGGACAAGGCTCCCCACACCTGGCCTGGCCCACTTCTTAAACATGGAAGAGACCGAGCCTATAGCACAGGGCCTGTGGCGGGCTTTGGAGATCCAGAATTCGGCAGCGCCCCTCACGAATGAAGCTCCAGGGGTCTCTTTGTCGAGACCAGGATGTGGTCCTGTCTGCAGCTTCTGGAAGATGCTGGGCCCTGGGCTCTCTCTGACAGAATTGAGAAATTAGGAAGAGGTCACCACCATTCAGCACAGCTCTGGGAGCAGGTGTCTAGGTTCTCTGGCCTAAGTTGCCAACACACAGTTTACCTTCTGCTTGTTGTAACTTTACAGCATTAGCTGGTCCCTGTGTGGCTACCTGGTCTTTGTCTTGAGATTTATTTACTTGTTTTCGGTACCAGGGATTGAACTCAGGGACACTTAACCACTGAGTCCCCTCCCCAGCCCTATTTTGTGTTTCATTTAGAGACAGGGTCTCATTGAGTTGCTTAGCACCTCATTTTTGCTGAGGCTGGCTTTGAACTCACGATCCTCCTGCCTTAGCCTCCCAAGCCACTGGGTTTACAGGTCACACTGCACCCAGCTCGGGTCCCTGGTTCTTAAAGAAGGCCCTCTCTGAAGAAAGGAAAGGGTTTGAACACTTGACCCTGCAGCACAGAGGACGCGGAACAGGATGGACAAGATGGGGGTGGCCTCAGAGGAGAGCTCGGTAGCCCCCACGCCCCCCCAGGCTGAGAGGCAGGTCAGCACCAGAGCGGCGGGGCCTGGTGTGGTTGCCAGCCCCTCTCCTGGCCCCACCGGTAACCATAGCAAATGAGATAGAGTTAGACATACAGGAGAACTTCCAACCTGGCAGAACTGTGGTATGAAGCAGGGAGACTGTCTTCTGGGGTTTCCCAGGCTTAACTCCTCCTATCCTTCCAGGCATGGAGAGTGGGTCGCCTGAGAAACCCCATTTTTAGCACCTGCCCCCTCCCTTGCTGGCCCTTTTTTAGGGAAGCGGTGGCCAGCATGACGTCCAGCAGAGGGCGCTGCAGAGCCTGGAGCGATACTTCTACCTGATCCTGTTTAACTACTATCTCCACGAGCAGGTGGGGCTGGGGGCTCCTCCAGATGTCCCCCCCTCAGAGTGACGGGTGTCAGGGACCCCACGGAGCTGGGTGGGGGCACGGTTGCTGTGTTGGTCCGCAGGAAGGCGGAAGCGTGGGACCCGTGGGAGAGTGGTTCCTGGGCCTGACCCCTCTGGCCTCTGCCGTGGTGGCAGCGCCATCCGGCCTCCTTCGCCGCGCTCTGGTCCCCGTGCTGGCCTTCTCCTGGGGCGGGCAGGAGAGCTGGGCCGGCGCTGCGCCCTGAGTGCCCGTCTCTCTGCCTTGGGCCGCAGTACCCCCTGGCCCTTGCCCTCAGTTTCAGCCGCTGGCTCTGTGCCCACCCTGAGCTCTACCGCCTGCCTGTGACACTGAGCCCCGCGGGGCCCGCGGCCCCCAGGGACCTCATCGCCAAGGGCTCCCTGGTGAGTGGTTGGCTGAAGGGAGTGGGAGTGGGCCTGGCTGGGGGACCCTGCGGGCTTGGGGCAAGCGTGGCCCATGGGGTGGCAGGATCCTCTTGTGAGCAGTTGCCTCCTCAGGCCCCAGGATCGGGCCACTCTTCCTTTTTTATTTATTTTATTTTTCAGTTGTCAGTGGACCTTTATTTAATTAATTTATTTACATGTGGTGCTGAGAGTCGAACCCAGGGCCTCCCACTCGCCAGGCGAGCGCTCTACCTCCCAGCCATGACTGCAGCCCCTCGGGCCACTGTTCTGGTCCCTTTTCTTAGTTTCAGACCTGCGTACTTTGGAGGGAGGCAGGGTGCTGGGCCGCGGTCCCTTGGTCCCAGCTCTCCTCTCTGAGCTCAGCCTCCTCCTCTGGGGAGTGGCTGCCCTGGCTCCTGTCCCCGCTGGGGCGCTGGGGAAGCTCTGGGTGTGCAGAGGGGCTCTGTCAGCGGGGGAGGTGGAGCCTCCCTCTGGACCACAGGCGGGTTCTGACCCTCGGTGGCTGCGGTTGGCTGCGGTAGGTCCCAGACTCGGTGCCCTCCCCACAGGAGGCCGATGACCTTGTCTCTCCGGATGCTCTCAGCACCATCAGGGAGATGGACGTGGCCAACTTCCGGCGAGTGCCCCGCATGCCCATCTATGGCACAGCCCAACCCAGCGCCAAGGTGATGCTCCTGGGGTTTGGGCCCCACATGGGGGGCGGGCAGGGTGTGGCTGGGCCCTTTCACTGATGGCCTCCGCCCCCAGGCCCTGGGCAGCATCCTGGCCTACCTGACTGATGCCAAGAGGAAGCTGCGGCAGGTGGTCTGGGTCAACCTGCGGCAGGAGGCCGTGCTACAGTGTGATGGCCACACCCACAGTCTGCCATTGCCCGGGCCAGCGCTGCTCCCCGACCAGTTGGAGGTGAGTTTCCTGCTCCTGCTCTGATTCCCCTGCCTTGGAGCCTTCTGGAACGTGGCTTAGGAGGGTCTTACAGGGGCCCCCTGTTCCTGCTACAGATGGAGAAACCGAGGCCTTGGGGGCGTCTCAGGAGCAGCTGGTTTAGGACTCCTGCTCCAGGGCCCTGGCCGCCTTCCTGGCCCCAGGGCTCCCGGGGGTCAGGGAAGCCCCTGGCAGCCAGCCTGGTCACCGTGGCAGCAGGCTGTGGCCCTTCAAGGTCGCTGCAGGCTGCCTCAGCAGCCTCTCCCTCTGTCTGTCTGTGCCAGGCCCTGGAGACCCAGCTGAAGGCCCACCTGAGTTCGACGTCCCCCGACACGAAGGGCCCACCGAGCCCCCGGTTCCAGACGTGCCTCACCATGCGGGAGGTCTTCAGCCAGCACCACGGAGCCTGCCCCGGCCTCACCTACCACCGCATCCCCGTGCCCGACTTCTGTGCCCCCCGTGAGGAGGTGAGGGGCCGGGCAGGCCAAGGCCGCTGGGGGCACACCAGGTGACCCCTACCTCCACGCCTGGGCTCAGGGTGGGGAGACCAGCCCAACTCAGCACTGGGCCTCACATTGTCTCCTGAGGCCTTGAGATTTAGCCCAAGAGGCTCATTCACACCGTTTTCTAGGGGTGTGTGTGTGTGTGAGTGTGGACACATACATATTGATCACATGTTGCAGCGTGTGTACTGCGTGTTACAGGATGTGCAGGTGTCTGATGGGGCGTGTGCATGGGGCATGGGGCCCCTGTGGAGGGTACCTACGTGTGCCTTGCAGGTTCTGTGGAATCTGGGAGGCAGAGGTTGGGTTTAGGGGAGCTGCGTGGGGTTCGTGTAGGAGAACATCATGACGGGCTAGTGTGACTGAAGCAGTGTTGTGTGGCCGCTGTGGCTTTGTGACAGATGTGTGTTCCTAGGAAGTGTAGGCTGTGTGTAAGGTACGTGGGTGTGTTCATGGTATGTGCCTGACGTGTGTTGTGTAGGGGTCACAGTGCGCCTCTGGACACGCTTCGATGCTACCCAGGCTCACATGTCCCTGTTGACGGCTCCTGCCTGTGGTGTGTGGCCCCCTGGTGGCTGAGGGCAGCAGCAGTCTGAGCTCAGGACCTTGCCCTTGCATGGGGACCTGGCCTCGTCCAGCTGGGTTGGCAGGGGTGCAGGACACGGGGTTGGCATGACCTGCTGGGTAGGGGTGGGCAACTGGAGCCCCCAGTGTGCTGTGTCTGCTCACACATCCGGTCCCTGGGGTGGGGACGGTATGACTGCACCAGGGTGCAGCGGTTCACACACACGCGGTCTCGGGTGCCAAATGAGCCGCGTGTGCGCATGTGCAAAGTTGTGGGCCGGGCCGTTCCTGGGGTTGCCGTCTGAGGGGGTGCCATGCTGGGAGTCTGAGCAGCCAGGAGGCCCCACCCTCAGCTGTGCCCTCCCACCCAGGACTTCGACTGCCTGCTGGAGGCCTTGCGGGCTGCTCTTGCCAAGGACTCAGGCTCCGGCTTCGTGTTCAGCTGCCTCAGTGGCCAGGGCCGGACCACGACGGCCATGGTGGTGGCCGTGCTGGCCTTCTGGAGCATCCAAGTACGTGTGGCCTCTTGCATAAGGACGGGTCTGCCTGGCAGTGGTGGGCATTGGAGTCCCGAGGACGCTGCCCGTGGCAGGAAGCCACAGGGAGCAGACAGTGCCTTGGCCCTGGCAGACCCCCGCAGGGCCTTGGCGTGGGGGAGGGAGGCTGGGGTGCCCCAGGTCAGCTGCTGTGCTCCCTCAGGGCTGCCCGGAGGTGGGCGAGGAGGAGCTGGTGAGTGTGCCAGATGCCAAGTTCACCAAGGGAGAGTTTCAGGTGAGTGTGCCCCGCGGGGTCCTGGGGGCACCTGGGGAGGGGAGAGGAGTCCTGTGGTGGGTCTGGGGGTGTTCCTCAGAGCTCTCCCCATTGCTGTCTCCTCTTCGGCTCTGGGGCCCTGTGGCGGGTCACTGGACATGTCCTCGTCTGGGTGAGGTTGAAGACCGCCATCAGGCGCCTGGGACCCAGCTTGGGCCCCACTGCCCTGGTCCTTCTCCTGCTTCAGGTCGGGGTGCTGAATGGACAGCCCCGACACTTCAGGTTCTGTCATCAGGTATCGGCTGTCACCCTGCAGCGAGTCATCTAGATACCACCAGGAGGTGGCGCCTCCCTCAGGAGCTAATGTCCCTGTCTGCTCCTGCTCCCTGGCCAGCTTGCCCTGCGCCCCTGGCTGCAGCCCACATCTGGGCCTCCACAGGGCCCTCACCTGTCTGGGAAGGGGAGAGGAGTCCTGCGGTGGGTCTGGGGGTGCTCCGTGGGGCTCTGGGCCTTTGCGGAGCTCCTCCTCCTCCCTGGGCCTCTCCTTTCTCTTTTTCTGTCTGTTTTTCTGATTCTTTTCTTATTGTGGTAAAATATACGTAATAGAACGTTTATGTCAGGTGCGGTGGTACATGTCTGTAATCCCCGGGGCTTTGGAGGTGAGGCAGGAGGATGCAGGTTCAAAGCCAGCCTCAGCAACTTAGCAAGGCCCCAAGCAACTCAGCCAGCCCATGTCTTAAAATAAAAAATAAAAAAATAAAATAGGGGGTGGGGATGTGACTCAGTATCCCTGGTTCAACCCCTAGTAACAGAAAAAAAAAAAGAAAGAAAATTGACTATTTTTAAGGGTACAGTTCGATGTCATTAAATATACGTTCATTGTTGTATAGCCATCACCACTGTCCATCTAACTCTTTCATGTTGTAAAACAGAGACTTTGCCGTATAAAACTGTAACTCCCCAGTCGCCCCCTCTCCTAGCCCTCTGTTAACCACCCCCAACCACTTCCTTCCACTGGGGATTGAACCCAGAGGCGATAAACCACTGAGTTATTCCCCAGCCCTTTTTTGTATTTTATTTAGAGATAGGGTCTTGCTGAGTTGCTAAGGGCCTCACTAAGCTGCTGAGGCTGGCTTTGAACTCGTGATCCTCCTGCCTCAGCCTTCTCTTGGGGTATTGATTTGCACTATCCTAATGATTAACGTTGGGCAGCTTTTTGGGGCTTGTTGGCCACTTGTGTGTCTTCTTGGGAGAGGTGTCTGTTCATTTCTTTGTGTTTGAATTGGTTGTCTTGTTGAGTTTTCAGAGTTCTTTACATATTGATCCCGTATCAGATTTGTGTTTACTCTCTTGGTAGTGTCCCTTGATGTATAAGTTCTTAATTTAAAAAAAAATTTTATTTTATATGGTGCTGAGGATTGAACCCAGTGCCTCACACATGCTAGGCAAGCACCCTACCTCTGAGCCACAACCCCAGTCCCACAAGTTCTTAATTTTAATGAAGTCCGATTTGTCTGTTTTTGCTTTTGTTGGGCTGGCTTTTGGTTTTATATCCAAGAAATCAAAGCAAATCGAATGTCATGAAGCTCCTGTGTGTTTTATGCTAAGACTTATGGTTTTAGCCCTCACACGTAGGTGTTTGATCCACCAAGGTGATTGGCGTATGTGGTATGAGGTAGGCCCCGCTTTATTCTTTTGCATGTGGAAAACTGGACATTGAGTCTCGCTGAGGGACTGGCCTTTCTGCCCTGGCGCTGTTGTTGGAAACCTCTTGACCCCATGGATGAGGTTTATGTACCAGCTGAATGCCTAGTTGTCATGCCAGTCCTGCAGACTGCCCAGCCCTGGGCCAGCTTCCTGAGACATTTGGGAGCAGGGGGGCCTGCCCTGGGATGGGGCTGTGCATGTCCCTCCCTCGCTTGCTGGTGGTGTGCACCAAGCAGGTGCTGCAGACTGCCCCAGCTTTGTGGGGCCAAGACGTGAACGTGAGCACTGGAGTGGGCCTCGGGAGGGAGGGGCTAGGCAGGGTGGGGCCTTTGTGTGCTGAGTGCATGGAGCCCCCAGGAGACCAAGGAGACCAAGACCCTGGGTGACATCTGACTTTCATATAAATGTGAGAGTGTCATATTTGGTCTAGGGAGCAGGAGGGCAGGGCTGAGGCAGGGACACCAGCCAGGGACTGAAGAGGCGAAGGTGTTAGAGGTCTGGAGGAGCAGGCTGGAGGGGTGTGATGAGGGCAGATTTGGAAGGGGGTTTGTTGGGAGGAGAAGAGCCCTGCCCCGTGGAGTGACCTTCACAGCCTCAGTTTTCCTGGGAGTCAAGGGGTACTCTCTGGTACTTTCCTGTGGGGCAGGAAAAGGGCCCGAAGGGCTCCAACATTGCTGTTTCCCACATCTCCTTGTCTTCCCAGCCCAGCGTGAGACAGTTGTCCGCTATATAGATTAGAGTTCTGGAGTGTGCGTGCGTGTCACGTACACGATGCGGAATTGTGAGCTGAGATCGCGCAGCGGCTCACCACCTGCCCCTTCCCCATGGCAGGGCTTAGCATTTGCTGACCTCGTAAGAGAAAGTGTCTCCAGACTGTAAGCTGGAAAGCCACTGGCATAGCCGAAACAGGATCACAGTACGTGGCCTTTTAGAGTCTCGGTACCCATGTTAAGAACTGTGCAGAAACTGCAACGTGAACTGCGTGCATTGCGGCCCAGTGGTGGAGCGCTTGACCGGCAGGTCCGAGGCCCTGGGCACAGCCCCTAAGCAGAAACCAAAGGTCAAAATACAACACTTTGGGAGCCTGGCCTGAGAGGCTCAGGACCCCACCTTGTCAGTCCCTGCCTGAGAGAGGGCCAGCAGGGCTCTGCAGCCAGGGCCTGGCCTCAGGCTGGGGTGGCCGTTCAGAGGGGGCTGAGCCAGCTGCCTAGCCTGGGGGCCCCCACCCCACTGTCTCTCCTGTGCTCCTCCCCCTCCTCTGGCCCAGGTGGTGATGGACGTGGTGCAGCTGCTGCCTGATGGGCACCACATGAAGAAGGAGGTGGATGCAGCGCTGGACACAGTCAGTGAGACCATGACACCCATGCACTATCACCTGCGGGAAATCATCATCTGCACCTACCGCCAGGTGAGCCTCACCCGCCCAGGTGTGCTTCCAGATGTGCCCAGCCCCCATGGTGGCTGATGGGGTGTGAGGTGGCTGGCGGTATCGCAGGCTCACCCTCTGCTCTTGGTCACGTTTCCATCTTCCAGAAGCAGAGGTGATCCCTGAAAGGGAAACCCCAACCCCGAGCTGATCCTGTCCCTGGGGCGTGTGCAGGGGTGATACGAAAAAGACTTGACCGCTTCGCCCCGGGGCCCATCGAGAATGAGGCCAGGCAGAGCACCTACCCGGGCCCAGCGTTGACTCTCTATTCTGTGGATATGGGGACCCGGTGTGCCTGGGTCAGAGTCGGGTAGATGGCAGAGTCTTCAGGGCCTGGGAGTGGTTGCCGGGCCCATCAGGTCAGCATTTACCCGCCAGTGCCCCCAGGACACAGTCTGCTGCCCTGGAACTGGGCCTGGCCCCCATTGGCCCCTTTCTTTGGTCTGCTCAGTTAAAAATGAATTTTTCATTAGAGCATTAGAGTTACACAGAGTAGTTGGGTTCATTTTGACAAAGTCACACAGGCATGGAATTTGATTTGACTCCATTTCAGTCCCTTCCCTCCCCACAAATTAATTTTGAACAACTCACTAAATTATAAAAATGAAGTTTCTATAACAGTTTGGATTTCATGTAAAAATATGGATTTTCATCCTATCTAAGTGTGCCCTTGTGTCCAGCCCTCTGGACCCCATGCTCCCAGCTCGGTCACACTTGGCTCACCCACCTGCCATCACAGGACCAGGGGTCACTTGGGCATCGCAGCCTCAGGCCTCAGGGGGTGCACTGACCTGCCCATTTCTGTGCTTCCCCCGGCCTGGGATTGGATTGGCTGCTGAGACAGTGGGGTGCTCGGGTGGGAGGGGCCACCAGGGGTGGGGTGAGAGCTCCCGTGGTGCCAGCTCGTGTTCTGTGCTGCTGGTCTGTGATTCTCAGGGACAGCTTCCACCCATAGCCTCAAGCCAGCCCCGTGCCTCAGCCTGCAGGTGGGACAGATGAGTAGTGATCCAGACTTTGCTCAGGGTCATGGGGCAGGCACAGCATTGGGAGTCGGATAAGATCAGAGGTCAGCTGGGAGAGGGTTTTGCAGACTTAAGGGGCTGCCAGTGTGGGGAGGGGAAGGTGGATAAGGAGCTTCTGAAATGGACTTGGTGTACTTTGGTAAGACACACGTGTTTTCTCCAGAACCTGTGGTTAAATTGTACCCTGGGGCTTCTGTTGGGTTACTTTTGGGTCCCACTAGCCCTGGTCTCTCGTGCTGCCACCGAGTCAAGAGGCTGAGCTCCTTCACTTTAAGAACTCACTGGCAGAGGGTAAAGGTCTCAGGCTTCCAGATGTTTCTGCAGCTAGAGGCCCAGGGAGGCCAAAGGGGGTGGCTAAAACTGGGCACAGCGGTGGATGCCTGTATTGTAATTTTGAGACCCTGTCTCAAAATAAAATAGAAATGCAGCTCAGGGGTAGAGTGCTTGCCTAGCATGTCCTAGGCCCTGGGTTCAATCCCTAGTACTAGAGAAAAGTGGGGAGGGTTGGGGGTAATACCTAGACCTGCTTCAAAATACCATAGACACCGCCCCATGCTGGCTGAGCTCTGCCAAGAGTCTCCTTCTCTGTATCCCTGACTCTAAAACTCATAGGCCTCTGAGCCCTGCAACCCAGGATGTCCACTGTGAGACACACACAGGGTGGAGCAGGGAGTGTTGTGGGTCCTTCCCACCAGGCCACCCATCCCATTCCCAGTGCCAGAGTGGTGCTGACCTCTGCAGTGGGAGGATGGGGATCCCCAGCCTCATCCCAGGGCCCCTGAAGGGGTCAGAGGCCAAGGGTAGAGTCATTCTCTGGTGTAACCACCAGGTGGTGTCAGTGAGCTAAATTTTGGTCGATTCTTCAAGGTGCTGAAGTGAGGCGGGCCTGAGACATGCCCCAGTGCAGGGGCCTTGCCTGCCTGCGCAGGAGGTTAACCTGGGAGCTTTAAAACATACCCTGGCCTGGGATCCATCCCAGGAGAGTTCAGTTTGGTTGGTCTGCTGTGAGGCCAGCATGGGTCTTGTTTTTCAAATTCCCCAGCTGTAACTAAGGCTGAGAACCACATCCCATATGCAGGGTCTCCACCTTCAGTGACCCTCAGAGGCCCCTGGGCCCCTTGCTAAGCTGGGCCCACTCCAGGGTCTCTGATTCCAGGTCTGGATGTCTGACAGCTCCCAGAGGCTGGGACCTCACTGGGGACCAGCTGCCCTAGTCTCTTGCTCTTTCTCTTTGTTATAACAGCTTTATTGAGGTACGGTTCACTCACCATGCGATGCACATATTTATAGTCTACCATTTTATGGTTTTTAGTACATTCACAGAATTGTGCAGCCATCACTATCAAGTTTAGAACATTTTCAGAACCCCAGAAAGAAACCTCCTACCTGCTGGCAGTCTCTTCTCCCCCAGCCCCACATCTCCAGTCTACTTTGAGCCTATGTGGATTTGCCTACTCTAGTTAGGTTTATGGGTTTTTTTGGTACTGGGGATTACACCCAGCTGTGCATAACCACTGAGAAACACCCCCAGCCCTTTTTAAAATTTTTAAATTTTGAGTCAGGTCTCTCAAGTTGCTGAGGCTAGCTTCAAACTTATCATCCTCCTGCCTCAGCCTCCTGAGTTGCTGGGATCAGAGGCGTGTGCCACTCACTGTATCTGGCTACTTCATTTCTTTTTAGTGCAGAATAATATTTCATTGTGTGGAAGGTTCATGTTTTGGCTATCTACTCATTAGCTGACAGGCATTTGGGTTGTTTCCACTTTTTCACTGTTTTGAGTCGTGGGCTGTGAACATTTGTGTGAAAGTATTTGTGTGGGCATGTTTTCATTTATCTTGGAGATATGCCTGTGTGTGGGAAAAATTAAAAAGCTCAGTTTTCCCCTCTGTTCTCACCGCGACACCCAGTGCAGATGACACCAGCCAGGCATCTTCTGATCTACCTGGAGATACCAGATCTCATGGGTTAAGGGCTCAGCTCCAAGACTGTCCCCTCCCCTTCCTGCCATTCATGAGCCCCAGGGGTTCAATTGAGCTTTTGATGGACAGGATATAAACGCCACAACCTCCTCCTTGGGCTTAATGAATGGCTTGAGCAGCTCCCGGGCCCAGAGAGGCACTGGCTGAGGTTTGGGAGAAAGGACATGCAGCTTCCGGGTCCTCCGTGGGCATCACCTTCCAGGAGTGTCCATGTGCTCAGTGGCCTGTCCTTGGGGTTTTCCGGAGACCTTAGTGCACAGGCAGCATTGCTGTAGGCTGGGTGGGGACCCCAGCACTGTGTGTTCTGCCCTCCTGTTGATGTCTCTGGGATGCACTCCTCCAGATACCCTCTGGAACGAGAAGGCTCTTGTGTTCTGCTACCTATCAAGGGTAAGTTAGGATTTCTATATAGTTTCTATGACTTGCCTTGGGGAAGAAATTCTAGTTTCTGTAGCCCACTTTGGAGTGCAAATTATGATCCAGTAACTGTATATGGAAAGCAAAAACTATGAATCACAATAATACAACCTCAGAGTAGATTGGTTGGATCCTGTGGTCATTCTAAGTTCAACCTTCGGAGGAACTTTGAAACTGTCTTCCACAGGGGCTCCACCATTTCCCATCCCCACCAGCCCTGTGTGAAGGTTCTGACGTCTCCCTGTCCTTGTCCTTGCCAACACACTAGTCATTGTGGTTTTTTTTCTTTTTTCTTTTTTCGCGGTGCTGGGGATGGTACCCAGGACCTTGTGCATGCTGGGTGAGCGCTCCACCACGGAACCACACCCCAGCCCCTTGTCTTTCTTTTTGATTCTTGCCATTCTCCTGGGTGTGAAGTGTAAACTGGTCATGGTTTTGGTTTCCTTTCCCCCTTGACCACTGGGGTTGAGCATTTTTTCATGAGCTGATTGATCATTCGTATAGCTTCCTTGGTGAGTTGTTTGTTCAGGTCCTTTGCTCATTTTTAATTGAGTAGGCCTTGTTCATTAGTCTAGACATTCTTATATCTTCTAGACATCAATCTGTTATCAGAGATATCATTTGCAAAAATTTCCTGCTATTCTGTGAGTTGTCTTCACTCTCTTGATAAGATCCTTTAGTGCACAGCAGATTCTGATTTTGACCAAGTTCAATATCTGTTTTTTTCTTGTGTTGCTTGTGCTTTGATGTCATACCTACTCTAAGGTCATGAAGATTTATGCCTGTGTTTTTGTGATGCTCAATTTTATGTATCAGAATTTTAGGTATTGCCATGATATCCAGATATTTAGTCAATACTATTCTAGATGGTTCTGTGAAAATATTTTTTTAGGTGATATTAGCACTTAAGTTAGCAGAAATTGAGTAAAGCATATTACCCTCCGTGATGTGGGGGGGCCATGTATAATTTTTGTCATTTATTCTTTTGATACACAGCTTGTTGTGTTCATTGATTTTCAGGGGTTAAACCAGCCTTATATTCCTGGGATAAGTGCTTGTAGTCGTGGCGTTGTGACTGGACACATACGTGCAGGATTCAGTTTGCTAGCATTTGGCTGAGGATTTTTGTATGTATATTCACAAGCATTATTGGTCTGTCTTTTCCTTTCTTGTGAAGCCTTTGCTTAATTTTGATATCAGGGTAACACAGTTCTCTTTCTGGCATCCTCTCTCCATGTCGACAAGATATTTCAATTCTGGGAGTTTCCTAACCTTCTCTGGGATCACATGGAGAGAGAGGAGGCTCGGCAATTGGAGTATCTGGGTTTGAGTCTCTTCTGGAAACACTCATGGCCCAGGTTCTTTGGCCCCGAGGTGGGACCATCATGGCACCTGATGAACAGGGGCATGGTGAGGATGGGTGAGGAGTGTGAATGCCTCGCACCACTCGGGCACGATTCCTGCTGGCCACAGTGGCCGCTGTTGTGTTGTTGCCCTTCCCGTCACAGCTGGGAGCCATGGTGAAGAGGTGCTGGAGTCCAGCTCTCTGTCCCGCCCTGGGAAT